TATTAATAAGATGATGGCACACTAAAATGTAAGTGAATTCCACCAGAGATAAAAACTCATAATTATACCATTCTCATATGGTTCTAAGAAAACTCCGACCAATCACTGCATTCGGACTGAATAATGTAACATAGGCTGCAACGTTATATATGACAACACAGCATCCAGTTGCTAATGGCTAACGTTAGCCTACTGTAGCGTAGCCTCTGAAACATTAACGTTATCTTCCTTGTTTGTTGCCAGTCACCAGTACTATCTAATGTTAGCGTTTACATTATATTATAAAACTCATCAATCATCACTGACCCCAGATAAGTTTCAAAACTCCGGGGTTGCATGTGACTGTGCAGGACAGGTAACGTTACGTTTAGTTTGCTTCTAATATAACATATAACGTTACACGACAACACAGCATCCAGTTGCTAATGGCTAACGTTAGCCTACTGTAGCGTAGCCTCTGAAACATTAATGTTATCTTCCTTGTGCATTTCGACTTACTAGTAGTGTTAACGCTACTATCTAACCTACTGTAGCGTAGCCTCTGAAACATTAACGTTATCTTCCTTGTGCGTTTCCACTTACTAGTAACGTTAACGCTACTATCTTACCTACTGTAGCGTAGCCTCTGAAACATTACCGTTATCTTCCTTGTGCGTTTCCACTTACTAGTAACGTTAACGCTACTATCTAACAGCCTACTGTAGTGTAGCCTCTGAAACATTAACGTTATCTTCCTTGTGTGTTTCCGCTTACTAGTAACATTAACACTACTATCTAACGTTAGCACTGTAACCTTATTCTAAAACTCATCAGTCATCACTGACTCCGGTTGAGTTTTAAAACTCCAGGGTTGCGTTTGAATGTCTTGGTTGTAACGTTAAACTGGCTCTCTTCTTCCGTGTATCTAACGCTATCATGCCAACGCCCACGTGTATCATAGACGTAATGGAGTGGGGGGGAGTAGGCCTTTGGAGGGAGGTGGAGTTATGGATGTTAAAATTTTTTCTGCTGCTCAGCTTTGGAGTTAATTTTTTTCCAGTGGCCATTCGCAGTATTGCAGTGAAAAAAATCCCCTGGCCCAAACACCATTTTCCCCATAGACCACCATTATAACAGAGACGTCTGTAAAACTGTTGCCAGGACACCTCACACTGCAAACAAGCTCAATTATGTCTCTTTCTATTTTGAAATTTTGAGCAATGATGGTTTAATATTTGTAAAACTTTCCTCAAGTCACATTCATGAAATGGTCAAATTATCGTACATTTGGCCTTTTTTGGGATTACTGAACGTAAATCGTACAGAGGGCCAAATTATCGTACAAATACGATAATTATCGTACACCTGGCAACGCTGGTTTGCTCTGACTGCAGCTCTTCTCACAATGAGAACATTTGTGTGTCAGCTGTGCGCTGGTATGGTGATACATGAAAAACTGACATCTTATGGGAAATTACAACAGATAGAGCACTACTTGTAGACCTCGAATTTTATGAATCAATATTGGATCATTCAAATGAAGATCAATAAGAATCGGCTGAATCCATCACTTCTTGATTTATTTCTGTTCAAGGGAATGTACATATTTAGTGTGAATACTGTTTTAGTTTACATCTTATTTTCTGCAGCATTTGTTTAACACGGTGATTGATTTACACTTAATTGTTAAGAGTTTTTATTATGTTTCCCATTATAGTCAACATATGACCTTGATTCAAACCCCTTCACTTAAGAAGAAATCGCTGTTTCTAAAGACACCAAATACGTCACAAATTTGTAGAAAACGCTCCAAAATAACATTTTAAAGTGCAGAAACACAAAACATATTGCTGAATATTACATTATGTCATGAAGCTTCACATAAAAAAAGTTAATGGTATGTATGAAAAAGGGTTTGGCCAATTACTGGTCACTCAAAGTCACAGAAATGTTAAAAAAATAAACTCGCTGTTGAACACAAGGCACCAAACACTGACCAGAAAAGCCTGGATTACACATAAGTTGTATTTAATGACAAACACATTCTGCGTTTTGTTAAAAATAATTAACCCTTCACAAACTGGAGACTCAAGACCAGCATGTTCAGAGGCACGTTGGTCCGCTGCCCACTGTGATAAGGACCGAACTGTTACTCTTCAAGCAGCCTAGTGTCACTGTTTCCTGACTGACACCATAATCTCCGTCTGGTTGAAGCCCAGCTGGCAGGACAGTGATGCTGACTGTGTTGTTGTGTAACAGCTTTGTGAATGAGTGTGTGTTGCTGGTCTGCTGAGGTGCCCTTGGGCAAGGATAGCACATTGTGCCAGAGTGTAACTGTGAGTATGGCCTGAGGCTCTGTTTGTAATCAACACACCCACCCTGGATAAACAGGATTACAATACGTCACACCAGTCTGCATTTAAATATCCGTTGATTTAACAGTAACTTGTCACCATCAACAAGGTGCATACCAGACAGAATATGACATTAAGTGTTTTTAATATCTCTTATAAATCATTTTACTAAAATTATATATCCACTGTAGCAGTTTAACTTTTTCTTTCAGTGTTTGAATAAAACACACTATGGACAGCAGCACCAGGGCTGGAGATCAGCACCTGCCTAATGCGGGTGAGTTTGGTCGGTAGATTTCATCAACCTACCCGCCCTGGTGTCAGGTAAAAAATTTAACTAATGATCCAATTGTTCCATAAAAAAGTCGACTCAATCACGGAGCGCTCTGCCTAAGTAGTTGAGTGTGTCCTCACTGCATCTTCTCGACCAGTGTGATGGAGGTGTTTCTTCTTCATCTTCTTGTTTGTGTTTACTTACGGACCGCAAACTAACCAACCAACTGCCGTAACAGAAGACGAAAAAGAAGCTTCACAAAGCTGAGTAGCGTTAGCATGTTAACGTTAACATGGGTGTGTTTGTTAGTCTAATGTGACGTGGTATTTTAAGGACAATGGGGCGACATATTTCTGGTACAAAGAGAGCGGCCGATGTCACAGGGCCCACACAAGACGAGACAACTCCAGGTCATGAAGCGAAATAAAAGGCCATTTTTTTGTGTGATAAATAATAATAATCAAAAATAATATTTTTTTTGCTTGGGTGTCTGCATTTTGCTTTTGTGCATTTTAAGTGTGTGTGTGTGTGTGTGTGTGTAGGAGATAATAAAAATTAAATATGCATTAACTGAAATATTAAACGGATTCTTTTTATGAGAACAGAAAAAGAATCATAAAATCTGTATTGTGTCTGTTTTGGACTATGGGGGTGTTATATACAGAAAAGCTGCTGCCTCTACACTGACATCACTGGATGCTGTCCCCCCCTCAGACCTGAGGTTCATATCAGGTGATTCTTCAGCCGCGTTTCCACCGAGCAGTCCGATACAGTTCAGTTCAGGTCGTCTCCACAGTGAAAGTTGTGGATGGTACCAACAGAAGCGTTCCTTAGCGTCCCCATGTTTGGTCCCCCCTCTGTTGGGGTACCTAGCACACAGATCTGGTACTAAAAGGTGGAGCTAGAAACCCTGCAGTCTGATTGGTCAGTAGAGGACGGTCACTCTGGTTTTATGTAACCTCTGTTCATACATCAGTAAACTACAACTATAAAATGAAAGAGAAAAAAATAACGTCATTCACTGGGCCGACTGCCGGCAACTTTTAAGGTGGAACGTTAACTTGTAATGTTACTCAATGCATGAGTTGATGACGTGAATCCATCAGCACACCTTAAATTTCACTGTGACAACTTTGACTATCACTTTAGTTTTTATATGACACACACTCTTGGACACTCGGCCACTTAAGGTCGTTTAAACGTCTTATTTCAGATCTTGTTCTAACTGAGTGTTAATGCTTTGAACTAAACATTTACACCGTGTTTTTTTAAAACTTCATAACAGCTCGAACACTGTGCATTCAGTGGTCAATACATTCAGGTTGTGTATCGGGCGATAAGTAAAGACCGGAAATAACAAAAAAAAATAATGAAACAAGAACAAACTTAAGAATCGGCGATGCAATCCTACAAAACCAGACAGACAAAAACACACACATGAATGCACACAGTGGTTTACTTAATTAGATATAAAGTAAGTAAAGATTTGCATCAGTTAATAGTTTTGGTTACTTTTTAATTTCATATGTATAAGTCTAATATTGTTTTAAGATATTAATCTAGATCTGATTTTTTTGAAAGCAGGATACGAGGGCCATTCCCTCTGACCCATACCATGTTTAACATCCTGTATTTCTACTTTTAGTGATCATCGCAATTATAGTTTATTGTTTTGTATGATTTCCTTTCTGTTTTACTTGGTATGTATGACAGTTCTTTGTTTACTTATTGATTGTTTTACATGTCTTTGTTCATACTTGACAACACTGAAAATGAGAGTCTCCTTCAGTTGATTTCCCGAGTAGTTGATGCTGTCTATGTTCTGTGATTATTGGTTACACAACATCTTGCCAAATGACTGCAGTTGAATATCAGCCAGTCATTTATAGATATGCTGATTAATGTGTTTTGTCATTATAAATAAAATCAATGAAATGAGTCTTAAATAAAAGTTTGAATGGATGAAAAGTTTAAACTGACCTGACATAGCTGGGCTGACCTGTTGTGGAGCATGGGGGTAGTAGCCTTGAAGAATGTGGCTTTCCTCTTTAAGTGGTGTTTTTTGGTTGTTGGACTATAAGCCGAATTGACCCGGAGACCTTCTGGACTGGTATATGATCTTAAACTGCACTGTGATTTATGGTAATTGCTCATTTACTGAGATGAAATATTAAAATGACTAATAATTGAACGGAGTTCGGCGTCAGAGCTTCATCACGCGAGTCAAAGCTGGTTGTACCGGGACAACAGAGCCTTTAAAGTAAGCTAACACTGAGTTAGCCTTGACCTGCAGGCTGAACCGACCCGACCCGAATCGAGCCACACCGGACCAGATCCGGGGCCCGAGGCCCGATGAAGGTGAGGAAGAGGAGGAAGAAGAGGTCAACACTCACGTTCCCGCAGCCTGTTCTTGAAGTTGGGGTCACTCCGTCTTTTCTTGTCGAAATAGATGCAGTAACCGACGAGCAGAGCGCCGCACACCCCCGCGGCTATCGCACTGGTCCTACCGCCCATCATAACTCCCGGACCCGGTCGGCTGGAGGAGAAGCTCGGGTTGATTTACCGTTTTTTTCTCCGGTGGTTGGTTGACGTCGGGGGACTGGCCGAGCGGCTCAGGGCAGGAAGGACCCGTCAGGCCCCCGCAGTTTGACAGCTTGTAGCCGTCTGTAGGATGCCTGACGGGAAATGTGAAGAATAAAAATATTTCACGGTGAAAGAAGCTGTAAATGAGCTTAACGGTGGAGCGCAGAAGAAGCGGCAGTGTTTTGAGACTCAATCATACCACTTCCGGTTTTTTAAACAGTATAGGTGGTATACAGAGACTGTGAGGTTTATTAGATACACACGGTGAACGACTTAGGGACTGTTCGTTACTTATTAGGGGGAGGGGCGGTCAAATATTTTTTTCAGCACTGGGGAGAGATTGTTTTTAATTTGGCTGCTACTTTGAAACCCAAGCACAATGCTTTGAAAAAGAAAGTTAAAATCAAACCAGGAAATGAGCTTAAAAAATCTAATAATTGTATAACATAGTTTTTTTAATTTATTTATTTAAGTGTTTATTGGGAAGGGACAATGCATATTGATGAACATCAGTATAAAAACAAATGTAAATATGCTGGAGTTAGCAGAACTGCTAATTTACATCCATTGTCCCTTGGCAGGTCAGAGACAATTAAAACCCCCCCAGTAAGAATAGTTCACAAACAGACAAACAATCATACATGGAAGTAAAGTGCAGAGTTAGCAGTAATGCCATAAAGTGCTATTTAAATTGCGTAGATGGAATAAAGTGTTTTAAAATTTTAAATATGTTATAATAATAATAATCATAATGTTAGAAAGAAATCACACCGGTTTGCTTCAAAGGTTCAAAGGTTTGAATGCTTGTTAAAGGCATCTGAAGGCAGCATAAGAAAAGTGATGTCGCTCCAGGTTTCAAAGGGTTAAATGGTTATATTTTGTATTTATTTTACTGCCAATTTTTGACTCAGCCTGATTAAGCTATCTCTACCATTTAGTTTACGTATGTCATGCAAATCCACTAGATGTGTCTTTAAACAGTAGGCCTTCACAGTTTACCTCCTACAGGAAGTTGGTATGTTAAAAAAAAGTCTCTCCATAGTCCTGTAACGGTGATATGAGGATAATACAAGTACTGGTAATACTATTAATTCCATGGTAACAAACAGATATGTTGATAAACTAACATATAACTATCATTATATAACAGTACATGGTTAGTCATTTTGATTTGTTCTTTCTTTTTTTACGATGATATGAAGCGACTCCTCAACCATTTGGTAGAGGCCTATATTTAAAAAATAAAAAAATGCTATTGCTTACTCGTCGGTGTGGACATTAGATCTATATGTGAAACCATGAGTCAAAAGTTAAAACCGAAATCAAACGTATTGTGTTCTTATTTCACTGTGTTTAGAAGGAGCAAGAGAACATTATTAGACTGATGTGACCTCATACTGGGTTGATATCAGATGTGAAGCTAGCAGATAAAAACAAGCTCTACAGGTAAGAGGAAATCTATGTATTTTGGGGTGAACTGTCCCTTTGAATAAAAAAGATAAATTCATAAAACAGATAATTTCAGCATCTCGGTATAAAGTTTTGTGTCTGAGTCCAGTTCTTTTCAGCAGCAGCAGCAGCAGCAGCTGTTTTGACTCTCAGCGATCACAACAGATTCAAGTCAAAGTGTTAAATATGTTCCTGTCTGACTGACGCTGAGTCACACAGACACCAACAGACTGAAACAAGCATCGTGCCCCGTGGCATTATGGGTACAGCAGGCTGAACACACCAGCAGTGATGCCTGTCCATCAGCAGGGGTAGCTGTTGGTCCATCACAGCCTCCATAAAACACACACACCCTGAGAATACACTCAGTGTGTCACAGTCCAACACACACACACACACACACACACACACACACACACACACAGTCTGCATCCTGTCAGACGGTGATATCCTGATATTTGGAGGCCTGATGGTGCTCAGGATTTAAACAGACAGTCAGCAGCTCGTATGGCAGCATGAATGAACTACAGACAGCACTGGAATGTGTGTGTGTGTGTGTGCAGCAGCGCAGACACACACACACACACACACACACTCCAGAATGTCCTGCGGCATCATGAGAGAGCAGGACAGCCTCATTGTGAACAGATCGACCCGGGTTATCTGACCCTGCTCATGATCGGGTTTAACGTGGAACTCCACTGTGAAAGTAGAACACAGGTTACTATTAGTGACTTCCCTTCTCTAATTCCTGACTCCATTTGTTTCACAACAAATGACGTTGTTGTCTTTAGATTCAGATTTATATATTTTACATTTTAAGGTGTTTTTTCAACAAAGGGGAGCAGAGGGTGTGCTCCAGCCATCGGGGTGTCATACTGCTCAGCCTCAGCCTGGGAAAGTTTACTCCAGGATGCTGGAAATGAGGCTCCGACCGATTGTGGAACCTCAGATTCAGGACAAGCGATGCAGATTTTGTCCTGGTCATGGAACAGCGGAGCAGCTCTTTACCCATGCAGAGCTGCCACAGGGGTTGCGGGAGTTTGCCCATCCGGTCTACGTGTGTTTTGTAGACTTGGAGAAGGCAACCTCGTCCCTTGAGGAGTCTTGTAGGGCGTACTGCGGGATTATGGTGTACCGGGGTCGTTGATATGAGTCATCCGGTCCCTGTATGACAAAAGTGAGAGCTGTGTCTACATACTTGGTGTAAGGTCAAACATGGTCTCAGTGGGTGTTGGCCTCCGGGTTGGGGACCTCAGAATTGCGTCTCTGCATTTTGCAGATGATGTGTTTCTGTTGGCTTCATCATACTGTGACACCCAGCATGCACTAGGGCAGTTTGCCGCAGAGTGTGACGTGGCTGGGATGAGAGTAAGAACCTCCAAATCAAGGGCCATAAATGTCAAAAACTGACACAGGAGCGTCCCCACAGCGTCATATTTTGACGTGTATGTCCACTGAGAAAGTGGCAGTATTTGACAAGTTGGGATGAGTATGTGTTGGCCAACCCATTCTCATTTCGAATTTGTCAAATACTGCTGCTTTGTAAGTGATTTTGGCATCGGACACCAACGCTAAACTCCACCTGCCACGGTGGTATGATACGCTGCAGTATCCGTTTGTAACGAGCCCAAAACAGAACTTTTTGGGGTGTTAAAATGTGCTACCGGTCGGCTGGATGACACCCACGCGACAGTTTGATACGTGGATGGGTGGCGTCAGTTCAGGTGACCAGAAGGAAGCTGTCGCAGCGGTATGATACAATGCTGGACAGCATCAGTTTGAAACTCTGCCGGTTAATAATATAAGGAGGTGGACAGTCCATATAGGGTGAACGCAAAGGGCAACGGATGGATCCAACAAATCCTGGACTTTCATCCGGTAGCCTGATGCTCGCTTTCCCTTTGAATTTAGAGCTAAATGTGCTTTACCAAAGTTTATTAAGAAAAAGACTGTTTTTGCATCTAATGAGCAAGACTGTACATGTCATGTTAAAACAAAAGTGTATTTTGAAAAGACACAATAAATGTACCAAGTGTTAATTGACACGCTGTCCATGAACGTCCAAAACTGACACAGGATAATACCTAGCATCATATTTTGACATATATGTCTATCAGGGGCGACTGCTCTGAGACAACAAGGGAGGCTGAACTTCCCCTAAAATTTCATAGAAGAAATGGTCAGATATGCACTATTGAATTTACATTAAAATAAGAATCTACATTGCATTAAACGTGCGCTAGGATGCGTTTAACATCACGACTATGATGTTCAAACATCAGCTGTTTGTCACCAGTTTTCAAACGTGACCTCCCTGTCATACATTCTCATGTCAGCATGGTGGACGCGGAGCCTCCAAGTATTCCTATGAGACAGCGCTGAGCAGGTTGTTTCATGCAGCAAAGCGAGACGGTCATTGGATAAATGCGACAAAATCATCACTTCCAGGGAGGCTCAGCTTCCCTGGGACCTGATGGAGCGGTAGGCGGGAGAGGACGCTCGGTGTCTGCATGATGATTGGAGGAATTGTCTAAAAGGCGGAACCCCTTTGTGATTGACAGCGCTTTGGAAATACACACCAGCATTGGCGAGTGGAGTCCACTGATGTCTACTGACAAAGTGGTGGTATTTTACTGGGATGAGGACGTGTTGGCAGAGCTAAAGACCTGTCTATTTCCACACGTCCACACACCTGACCAATCACAACGCGTGTGATTGTTTTAGAAAGCTCTTTAAGTTGTTGGATGCAGCCTCGTCCATGTGGTGAAACCAGGGAGGAGATGATCCAACCAGCACTTCATCTGAAACATACTGAGACCTTTAATCTTGAAGACGGTCTGATCAACTCAAATGTTTTTCCAGATAACATGAATCTGAAATATAACTGAACATGTTTTTCTGACTTTGCATCTGCATGTCTGAACGTTTTCAGCCAACACAAACACTTTTGGCAGTGTGTGTGTGTGTGTGTGTGTGTGTGTGTGTGTGTGTGTGTGTGTGTTTTGTCGGTATCTTTTAGTCTGTTGTGCTGTGTGTTTGTTTTGGCAGCGTCCTGCTCTCCACAGATGGCAGCTCTCTGCGTGAAGCCTCTGCTGAGGACCGTTAGCATGGCTGAAGCTGCCGAGACAAAGGCGACGGGAGCTGTTCAATCCCACAAAATGGAGCGAATCAATGAGAACATGAATACCAGCGACACCACAAGTAAGCTCTGTAAAGCTGTGTGTGTCTTTCCTCAGGCCTGCAGAGTCTCATGGTTACCTTTAGACCGCTGTGATTGTGCTCTTGTTTCTGCTTTTGAGTTCAGGTTTAATTTGTTCTCAGACATCAGTGTTTTCTCTCAGGCTGCATCACTGATGGATTTTAAAATGTATTTTGGCCTAGAGGTCTGAATTAATGACCAGCGTTGTGAGCGTGAGGGCGCTCACCGCCACCTCTCACTGCAATGATAAATTTCACATTAGTTTCATCACGCCACGTTATTACAAAGTTAGCGCTGCGTCTTCTGCCATAATATCTGACACAGCTATTATAAGACAAGACGTTAAGTCAGAACTTTCCTGGCTGCTCTCATGCTGTGTGTTTTCAGTATAGTGATTCATTCATCC